GGATACCAGTATTCTTTAACTGGTTCCAGTATCACTGATAATTGAGATATATCATCTAATGATAACAATCATCCAATAATAATAATAATAATAATAATAATAAATATTATTACTATTATTATTATCAGGGGCGTATCTAGGAATTGGGGAAGGGGGGTGCTAAGGGCGTGCGAAGCGCGCCGCAATTTTGGCCACACCCACTTTTACGGCGGTAAAACCATAGATATTAGAGACTATGTAACCGGGATAGGTTTTTAATTGTGCAGCACTTTACAGTAGTGTAGATCTATAAACCAAGTTAATTCTTTAATAACTATTCATAACTACTAGAAAAATAAGTCGCAGAGTGTATCACTGTTTCCAATCCCGTATACGTAGTCTCTAATATCTATGGTAAAACGGGCATTTTCGTCAATTACGGGTGGGGCCAAGATCATTTCAAGCATACTGCTATGTTACTGGTACTTCTGATTGCTCCTTAAAGCACTGGAAACTGCTGAAATCATGATCAGGGAGCTAGATAACTTTGTTAAGAGGCTTGGTAGTGATGCAAGAGTCCAGGACTTCAGTAATTTTTTCTAAGCCCAGCCCTGAGGGGGGTGCTCAAGCCCCCTCAGCCCCCCCTAAATACGCCTCTGATTATTATTATTACCATAGAGGGGTTATATTTCGTTGATATAAAATTTTGTTCATATAAAATATGAATTTATCCAGATTTTGCATTTGCTGATAAAATTTTTGAAAATGTTATCTTCTGCAGGCATCTAGTTTATTAACGTGCCACACCACTTTTGTGGAATTTAACTTCGCAAATTTAATGAAACGCAAAATTGGCTAAATACGGTAGTCTTAAAAATTAAAGAAATGTGTGGTCAAGAGTAATTAATGGGTACTATATGTACATGAAACATGTAATTTTATGTACAGTCAAATATACTATAGTTACTCTAAGATCAAAGGCACCACCGGGTGGTATATTACGCATATACACACCTGCCCTTGATATACACCCTTGCATGGTTTTAAGATATTCATAGTGCCACATGGTGAAGAAATCGCAGCCACTTCTCTTTCTTTTTGCTGCCTGACTTTAGGCCTTTCCTTTCTGTTCTTAGTGGCCAGTTTCTTGCAAGTAGCAAAGGACACTCTAATGAATAGAACAGACTTCCCTTTTAGTCACATTTACTCTATCAGTTGTCGCTACAATACCAATGATTAAATGCCTAATGGTGGGTCTTATGCAATTTGATCTTACAGTAAGTATAAAATATATCATATGTACCATACCTTCGAGGTCTATATCAGTAATATGAGACCCTCGTATCTTGATATCTTCACTCGGCTTCACCCCGGGAAGATATCTTGGGACTTGGGTCTCATAGAACCAGGGGCGGATCTAGGGGTGGGCCAGGGTGGGCCAGGCCCACCCAAAAATTCTGTGCAGTAATTTAAAATCAACTTTTTCATGTGGATGACTATGTAAACTGTGAAGCATGACTGTGCAAACAATTCGTAAACCACAAAGGAGCTCATTTTAACAGCTTTAATCTTCAAAATTTTGGCTTTGAATGCAGGCCTTGTTGGTCACATCCACTAATTACTACACCCAAATCGTCAAGGCCCACCCAAGAATCCAATCCTAGATCCGCCCCTACATAGAACTGATATAGACCTCAAAGATATATTACAAAAACCATTATGCATCATGCAGCAGCTATATATAGTCAATCATGTATAGCCACAAATTCCACCTATTCCAAATATGATGCACTATAACAACTATAGTGTACTCCTCCTCATGCAAACGTTCATGTGGTCTATCAGCAGGTACAGCAATACATTAGAGTACTGAACTAACCTTTACTGATATAAGTACATGCATGTACAGTCTCAGTATCTTGTAATATCTTATATTCTTCTTTTGGTTGTACTGGTACTATCAATACAATAATTATTATGAATTATTATTAATATCGTAAGTACCATTTTGTTCTTTAAGGAAGGACTTTAATCTTTCATTTTCCAGTATCAATACTTTCCTTTGTTCTAATTATAAAAAGAGGCCATTAACTAGCAAATAATTAATGTTTGAGTGTGTGTACATACTTTGAAATGTTTCCCTTTCATCTTTAATTTTTTGTATTTCATTCTGTAATTCTACAAAAAGTAAAATAAGGTGCATATAAAAAACATTGAATCATGAAAAACTACATGTATATAAGTATATATAAATTATAATACAATGCACCTAATTGTCACAAAGACACACACACAAATACATGATTGAGTGATAATGCAGTCACACAAACCTGATACTTTTCTGTGATCTTTCATATGCTGTACCACTAATTCTTGTTGAAGATCATCAACCTTTATTTGTAGCTCCTCTTTCTCTTTTAGATCAACTTTATTCTGTTTCATGAAACTGATGGAGGATGCTTGTTTCTCTTCTTTTAGGAGTTCCTCCAGTTGTTTATGAGTAAGTTCATTGTCTATAGTATAACAATGATTCGAGTATCAATCAACAATAATCATTAATAACATTGTATCACCTGATATTAATTCTCTACATTGTTCTGTTTTGTGTTTCAAGTCACCAGTAACTTCCTCACGCTGTCGAGTAAGTATTGCTATTGTCTCTTCATTCTGAATGCGTTCCCTTTTCTGTTGAAGTATTTCTTCTTCATATTCCTTTATAAATTGTTCATGAAATTGTTTCTCTTGTTCGTGGAGTTCCTTTTCTTTCTCAAGTTGCTTTTGAATATTTTTAACTTTCTTCTGTAGCAACATCACTTGATCCTTGTCATATTTGTCTTTCTCCTCCTCCTGGTAAGAATGACTCATTGATTCTGTTGTTCCTATACTCATGCAAATAATAATAATTATTAATAATATTGATGTACCTGCAGGTATTTCAGTTGCAAACATGGTATCTTTACTTTGTACAGTAGGAGCATCAAAACTATCAGTGCATGGTTTTTCTTTCCAAACTTTCCAAATACCACCATCACCATCACCTCTAATCACATTTAATTTGAAATGTAGCGATAAAACAGCTGATGACAGTCTCACGACATCATGAAGTACTGAATAACTAGAATCTTTATCAACAACAATCGTAACACACTCAAGTACTGATGAAACTTTTGAAAGCTTTTCTTCCAAAAATTGCTGAACTTTTCTTTTCAACTGCTCAACAGCTTCTTTATAATCCTTAATAAATACCTTAGCCTCCTCATTTATATTAAACTTATGAATGAAATACTCCAGACCACTAATATCATCAAGAGAGCTATTATCATGTACTAATTCCAAAAGTTCATGGATATCTTTGCACTCAGCTAACCGAAGCCTTAATGCTGAGTAGTATGTACCCAATACACCTTTGATGTTGTCAAGGGATGGAGACTGAGGGTGACTCGTCATGATTAATCCCACTTTGAAGAATATATCACCCATTTTTATTTGCATCATCTTAAACTCTGAAGTGATACTCCAAGGAAGATAAATCTTCAACCCTTTTTAATAAAATAATTAATGCGTTATAGTTAAAAGTTAACACATAAATTAATTCTTACCACAGTCATCATCACTGGTATAAACCTTTCCTAAACAACAATGATAATGGTTTACATTATAATATTCTTACTGTAGTGTCTCATAATAGCTCTTCCTATCTCAGCAGTGGCTGTACTTTTACATAAAATATCAGCAAATGCTTTAAGTTTTTTATAATCTTTACAAACAGCTTCTTTTATTTCATCCAGTACTTTTTCTCCTTCACTATAAGTAAAGAGGTTTACCTCTTTTATAAGTTTTGCTTGATACAAACACAAATGATCCAAATGAGGTATTGCAGACACTATAGATTGGTATGAAATATAACGAGCAAGAATTCTACAAGCAGGATGCTCTAAACAATAAATAAAAAGGAAGTGATTGGTCTGGCAGCCAGACACAGAATTTTAGAACCAAAAATCTGGTAGAGCTTCATCCCTATGTGCTATACAAGAGCTTTGTCACCAACATACTGTAAATTAGGAAATTTATGTGGTGCATGTAGAATACTTTTGTGTAAAATTGTGTTGTGATTTAATTCTACTTAATAAGACTGTGTCATGCATTATTAAATGTGGTATGTAATTATGTGTGTGGTCTAATTTTTGCAAAATTCCATTAAATTACAGTAAAAATTTCCTGATAGATTGTACTATACAACATAGAAATCAAGTATAGACATTACAATCAGCATTAATGGGGCACCAGGCTTATGGTGACACAGTTGGGAATTAAGCTTAGGGTGGTACCTGGATGTTCAAATCCATGCACATGTGCTTTAGTGTTTGCTTTGTTTAGAAAAATAAACATTCTCTCATACTGTCTATAGCCTCCAGGGTCGTAGTGTTAGAGATTAGAGCATAGTGTTTATTGATAAAATAGCTTGTGTGCATACAAGCTATTTGACAAAGAAATGCAGGCTACCAGATTCTATATAGCACTAGAAAACTGTGTTTGGCTACCGGACCAATAGCCAAGGTGTAAATAAAAATTTATATTAATTAATAAATCATTTTTATTAAACTTACTCTCCATATCTATTCCATCAGCTACTCCATACTCTCCTATTCTCCTCAATGCTGATACCAATGAATAGAGAGTAGAACCACCTTTAATGTACTGTACATCATCAGCTTTCTGTAACCATTTAGTAAGACACGCATGCAGACCACCCTCAATATCTCCTATAAAATTATGATTCTCTGTAATGACATCAAGTGTAGCAAGAGATAGACCAAGATAACGACCAAGTCTACAGTAACTGACTCCTGCTCTGAATCCAGTGTAATCATGTCTTCTGAGTAACTGAAGTATCTCAGGAAGATCAGTAACTAATATAAATAATTTCGTTTAGCAAAAGAAAGAAACAATAATATACTTGTCAGTTGATTTGGAGGGTCTTCTGGTACAGAAGAAGCGACAGGAGAAGACAACTTAGAAGCCATCGGTGCTAAAGGGTGGGGCTGATTAATGATGACGACATCGACACCCATGTACAGCAACGCCCTCGTGCTTGAGTGTTCCTGAGATATCCCCCGGCCCCTCATGTAACAAATACGCCCACAAGGCTAGTACAAACTACAAAGCACATCTGGCACATGGTCCCATTTGGCCATTTCAGTGATTCGACTGATTTCACCAAAACACCAACAGACTGAATGGAGAATCACCAACCTTTCTCTGGGCCTGTCTGACTGCTATTGTGTTTGATGGAGACAAGCAATGGGAAAAGAGCAAGAGTGACTGCACTGACTCGGAATATTGAGAGAGAGCTTAAAGAAGAGGAAGGTGTAACGTTTGACCTGAAATCAGTACTCCATTCTGTTGCCTGAAGACTAGTTTCCTCGGCAGAAGAGGATAAAAGCGTATTTGGGACACTTACTGCTTGAAGACTTGGTATATTCCAGTATTTCTATTAAAATGAATACTGATTGAAAACTTGTCAGAGTAGTATCGAAATATGTCCTTGCTGTACGATGGAATCCTTCTACTAGTTGTGTCACTGTCACATGACCAGCAGAACCAAAATACATCAGTCATTGATCATTAAGAATTGTAAGTGTGTGATTAATTAATGTATTATTGAAATTTAATGAATATTAATTAGTGACAATCCCCTGATGTCAAGGTACTAATGTTAATTAAAGTGCTAGTTGAAAGTGACAAGAAATTTTCTTCAGAAGTACATATTACATGATCTCTCTCTACACTGGTATGCAACACATTTGTTACATGTTCATGGGATTTCTTCCATGTATCGCTTTTGTTTTATTTCTTTTTTTTATTTTTCTTTAGTTTGTTACTCAATGCGTCAAAGACACTGTTGAGATACAGTTTGTGTAATTTTGAATTTATTGGGCGAAGCCCTTACTTACAAGAACTTGAACGTACGTCTGGGCGTGACTGGGAGGTGCGGTCTGGAGGCGGAGCCCCTCAATGTTTTACATTCTTTCTAGTATTATTATTGTTAAGTTGTATACTCTCCTAGTCATATCCTCTAAATAGGGTGATTAAATATGATTGGTTCAAGTCATAGAGCCCCTCCCCTAGTCATGAAGCCTTTTTGCTTTTAATTACTGAGTTTTGTGATAACATTCATCCAAGAGTTCATGAAAAAGCAATGAACGCACTAGTACATTGTAAGTACATATAATACCTATCCTTTCTTTACTTGTTCCACTTAGTTTCTTTCCTTTCCTACATGTACAATTGCCATATACTGGTTTATTTTGTAAACCATTTTCCACCTCGTCTGCTTGTGTACACATAATTATGATATTATTCATTTTTTCTTAGTACTAAGTGTTGCTAATTTTACACTGTTGTAGAAAAGTCTTGTCTGACGATTGGATACCTTCAAGAGGTGAGCTTGCAATGCATTTACATATAACATACAGTATAGGTCCAAATTTTTTGGTCAAAAATGTTGTCAAATTTGGCAAAAGTTCTTGCTTGACAAAATTTTTAACCAATAAAAAGTTTGTTCCACATGGTTATTATGTGAATTTTTAATAAATATGACGAAAATTTTATTGATGAAAATTGATTTTAACAAGAAATTAAGATTTTGGCGAAGTTTATTGCTACGAAAATTTGGAGCTATACGGTATACATGTATAGCTAGTAATTTCGGAAAGGAAGTTTTGTCAGATTTTCAGTTTTGCTTGCCAATCGTCAAAATTTAACTCACCATTTTGAACTTTTACAATGGCACCTGGCCATAATTTAAACCCACAAATAATCAAAAAATCAAAATATTATCCCGCTAAAATTACTAGTTATACAATATCAGGGTTTCCCACCAAATTTGTGCATAGTGTTCATTCGAAAATTCTCCTTTTTATAATTTTACTGATTTATGTCAGGGGTGGGCGATATTGAATTTTATAGTCACGATATCTTTATGTGCATAATATCACGATATGGGTAATTATCACAATATTTTTTCAAAATGTTTTTTTCAAAAAAAGAAAATTAATCATGTACATAGTACTACATACACTTTACTACAAAACAGTTCTTAGCAAGTTAGCAGTCTAAATTCTTTGCCAAAAATGTAAGCATATTCACCTTCTCCGGCTTAAGACACGTTCTCTTGGAATTTACAATGTGCCCCGAGACGCTAAATAGTCTTTCAGATGCCTCGCTGGTGGCACAGATGCTAAAGTACTTCTTTGCAACCTTAGAAAGTAATGGGTAAGATGACGAATATTGTAGCCACCAGACTAGAGGGTCATCCTCTGTATCTATCTTAGGACAAACTAGGTATTGTTCAATCTCTCTTTCAGCCTTGTCTCTAGTAGAAAGAGGGCCATCTCCAGAAGTTACTCCTTTCTTTTTTAAAATTTGCCCCAACTTCCTTTTTTTAGTAGATGGTTCAGGTTGTTCAGGAGATTCAAGTAAAGGGGCAACATCAGACGTTTCAGAACTGGTAAGTTCCACTGCTTCTTGTAAAATAGACTCCTTTATTGTTGCTACGTGATCATCTGCTACATATTCAAGTCGAAAACGTGGGTCTATGAATGTAGCCTTGTCTAGTAAATCATTAATCTCTGAAGAAGAATAGCGACTCAAAAGTGATGAAAGGATTTTTTGCTTTAAGGTAACAGTAAGGTCAGTATCGTTTTCCTTCCAGATAAGAACTTCTGTCTTGAGATGATGAAGGAGAGGTTTTAGTGATGATATAGTTACTAGTTTCTCTGATGATAAGATGTTAGTGAATTCTGCCAAAGGAGAGAGGACTTTATCGAGTGACTCCATGACATCAAGGTCCTGCCAGTTGGGAATGAGATGCGTCGTTTTACGGTCAGAACCAAGCACTTGACGAACTGCCTTCTCTTGTTCAAGGATTCGACCAATCATTCGCTGCTGAGACCCCCAGCGTGTATCACAGTCCTATTAATAGCATAAAAACACTAGTAACATACATGTACACGTACCTGTAACTATAATCAATATTACTTAATCAAATACATTTTATACATTACATGCATGTATATAGCTATTTTATATTTAATTTAACTCACATTGATAAGAGAATGCTCTGGTAGATTATGATCCACTTGTGCTTTGCGTAAATCTCTCTTTTTCTTCCAACTATGTGAGAAACTACCGACTATTTTTCTACTGAGTGCGAGAATCCGAGAAACACGGGTGTCGTCTTTGGTGGTGTTCGTAATAGCTAGATGTAAATTATGTGAGAAACACGACAGACGAGGCCAATTGAGAATAGTGGTGGCTTTAACAAAATTAGACCCATTGTCAGTAATACAGCATGACAGACGGTCCGGACTTAAATTCCATTCTTTAAATGACTCAGTTAATGCTAAAGCTACGTTTTCCCCCGTATGATCATCAGGACAAAAGAGCGTTTGTAGACATCTGCTTTTGAACTCAAACTGGTCTGTAACAAAGTGAACAGTTAGACTAATGTATGGCTCCATTGTTGCACTTGACCAAAGGTCAGATGTGCAAGAGAAATGGTGAATATTTTCCAGATCTTTAGTGACAGTATCTTTCAATTGACCATACATTTTGGGGATAGCAATGTTTGAAAAATACTTCCGACTAGGTAAGTCGTATTTTGGATCCAAATTTCTTATCATCTTCTGAAAACCAGGTTTTTCCACTAAGTTCAAAGGTAAGCTATCTTTTGCTAAACAAAAGGTGACTGTATCTGTGATTAGCTGCCACTTCTTGCTGCTTCTTGAGTAGAGTGATGATTTACCTAGTGCTTCGACAATTGTCATATTTTGGCCCGTTTCTTTCTTCTTTTCTTTAACCTTCTTCTCCTCTTTTAGTCTCTGGTACTCTTCTGGGTGCTTAATACGAATGTGCGACAGTAGATTTGATGTGTTACCACCTTTACTAATGACTATTTTAGAACAAATCTTACAGATAGGTCGGTCTTCTTCTCTAGGTCGTCCAGAGTCATCTGGTCTAAAACCGAAGTATTGCCAAACAAAAGATGTAGTGTTTCGTTTAGAAACCAGTCCAGTACTTGCTATATCTTGAATATCTTCTGCTCCATCTCTTTCTTCGCTTTCCCCTTCACAACTGGCCGCCATTTTATTACTATTATTAATTAATTATTATTACACGTGGTGAGTATACAGAAATTTACTAATCCGTATACGGGAATACCGTATATACGGTATATCGATGTTATTTTTTAATAACGGTATGATAACGGTTATCACGGTATACTGGTTATAAACATAAATATCGGTATATCACCCACCTCTGATGTACATGTATATGTAGTACAGGGTAATTGATTACATGTACAAATGCATGAAGCAACAAAGTGATTGGTGTCCACTTACAGAGTGAAAAGCTAAATGGCTGACTGTCAGAGTGAGTATCTTCGACTCTAAATCTCTCCAAAATGATGATACCCACTGGATCTCCGGTAGACTATGATAAAAATACAAAAAGGAATAATTTTTCTGTTGGTTTTTCAGCATTTCATGTTTTTTTCGTGGCTCTAAAATTACATTGAGCACTCATAAAACAAACAAAATGAAGGCCCAGGGCATCGGAAGATATTAAAAATAAATTTACAAAATATTGCATTTTTAGGAGCGACTTTTACATGCATACATGTACATGTACAGTACATCGACCCATTGTTGATTTGTAGTGTGCCAATGTTGACTCGGTCCTCCATTTAAAGCTTCAGCTCGTACAAAGCAAACAATACAGTTAGTTTTATGTATTTTGAGTGAAATTCTACAGC